ATTCATTTAGGAAACAGTCCTTGTTATTACAGCACAAAGACTGTCTAAGCTCTTTGCTTGAGTATCAACCAACATGTTCCCTACCTACAACCCCCAGAAAGTGACAATCCTGTGTGCTGAAAGAGGATTGACAGTAGATAATGTTCGTGATTCACTGGCCTCTGCCCTTTTTGTTAACAAATCTTAACAGATTCTATAATATCTGCTAAGCCATCCTGTAGTGTTATCCAGCTGGGGAAGGTTTTTTAACAAATACTTAAACCTGTAAACCCATCCTAAAAGATATTGTTTGGACATGCTCTTAATCTGTACAGTTTTTGTTTTGATTCATTTGCTTTTCTTTGACTTTTTTTTATAATCTCTGCTCCCTGTAGAGTTCTTTGAGCTGTTCCAGGGGCTTATCTTAAACTGCCTGACCATGCTGAGGAAACGGATGAGGGAGTTAAAAAATCAGATGGAACCTCCTCGGAAATTTAATTCCCACCCCCTGACAGAGCTTGAACTGAAAAGACAGTGAGACCTTTTGTGCCAATTCCCTGTGGGTCTTCCAGAGCTGGTTGCTTTCCCGATCTGTAGCAGCACCCAGAAGCTGTTCACTCACCATCAGCATTTTACATATACCATGGGGTGCTCTAGAGATGATGGTGGTGTTGAGTCTCTGCATTGGGTGTCGTGTTGGGGTCTGTGCCACCTGGGTGCCAGCCGGTGATGGCAGAGCTCAGCAATTGTCTTATACTGGCTTTGAGGAGGTTTTGCTTTCTGTGCAGAGAGGGAAAATGATAAATGTTATGCTGTGCTTTACCTTCTCCTCTCTCAGCTTTGTAGTAGTTCAGGTCTTTGTGGATACATGTGCTGTTCATGTGTGACATGGAGCCTTGCTCCTTTTCTGGTGGAGTCACAGTTTATACAGCCAGCAAAGATTTTCCTCTGGGTAGAATTCAGACTTCTCCTCTGATTTTGCACTGATACATAGCAGGTTCTGTTTTTTCACGCTGCTTGGATGCATATGGGAAAAATGACTGCAAAGTCTGTGGTTACAGATTTATTACAGAGCAACTTCTGTAGCAGCACAAGCATCTGGTCCCGGCAGACTTCCCGCTCCAAGTCGTGAGCTCCAAACCCATCAATTACTAAAGCATTGCTGTCAGTGACCTTAATATCCTGCCTACCTTATAAACTGCAGGTTTCACTGAGAAAGGTCTTCAAATCTCTAAGGAAATTTCCTCTTAAGAAATTTGTCTTGGTGTTTTTTGCTGCGCTGCTGAAAGAACACACAGGGTAGAACAAATGTCCCAGCTGAACTTTGGTTCTATTAACATGATGTGTTTGAGGCATTTCCTTTACAGTGAAAAAAATGACTAAGCATTACAGGGTATCCTTTCCCTTCAACTAAATTTCTTTTTTTACACCCATATGTGTGCATTTTGACACCATATGGACTCAGGGACAATCATGTTGCTGCTGGTTTGTATCTTTATAGTTGCATGCTGCCTTAAAAATGCTGAGATCTCAGCAAGAGCATTTCACAGTAAGAATGTCTAATTCTTGTCAGTAAGGGATCATTTTCAAGTGAATATTTGTCTGAATTCGAAGTGCTCATTTTCTGATCTTAGGGTCTTTGGCCTATTTATCATTAGCTTCCAAATGCACCCGTGTGATCCTGTATCTCATTATGTGTTCTCTTTGGAAGCATGAAAATTACTACTTACTGTAATCTGTGTCACCAACAGCCCCTTTGTATCGTACAAGGAATAGAGAAGTTGGTGGCATCTGTGAGACTCCTTCTGCATTCATGACATTGGTATTTGTAAACACTAAAAGAAGTGCTGCCGAGACAGGCTGGAGCTCATGGAGCCCTTGGAGCATACAATAAAGATGTAGCTGAATGTTGCAATTCTCTATCTTTGCTCTCTTTTTTCCCTTACATATATCTACATTTATCTCTGGTAGTCAACAATACCTTGCCGTGTCTTTTAATATTAAATATTTCTTTTAGTTTTTGTCTTTTTCACTCTCTGTTCTCATTACCTGTGTAACAGGCAAGAAAACTCAAATTAAGAGTATTTGTTCCTGGCTAAATCTTGGATCATTACTCATTTAGTGCTGTACTAGTTGATAAGTGCTATCTTCATGTCTCTACATACAATGATATACCATTAGGAGAATCACTTTATCATGATACCAGAAAATTTCCGAATTATGCTTTTTGAGGTGGGATTTTTCTGTGCAATAGAATTTTTTCCATCTCTTCATATTAGAGTGTGTCTATAAAAAGAGCAATTCTTTGAGTGCTCACTTTTAATACTCTGTATATAAGTCTGTATCTGTGAGGAGATAGTATGCTGCTTTGCAGCCAAGTGGCTTTTATTCTTGAGGGACTCAATTACTTTTCATTCCAAAAGACAAAGGGGCCTGGAACATCTCAGAATCTTACAGGACCAACTTCTGCAATTGTTTAACCAATTTTTCCTGCAGTTTGGAAGCTTAGATGATAAAATTCAGTAATCAGTCACATATGAACACAGACATTTTTCTTAAGAGCAGTGTTTGAGAATTCGTAGCTCGTGACCTTGTTAAGTTAAAACCATTTACATTTCTGAAAGTATTAAAGGGACATAAAAAACTTATAACCATCATTTAGGCGCAAGAGTAGATAAAAATGTTAAAAATCATCAATCGTGGTACAAAAGAAAGCAGAATTTTTCATTAAGTTACTATTGAGATGAAGAAAGATGTCATGTTTCTGTTTTATTATAATAAAGACAAACTTTCTGTTTGATCCAGAAGTAGGGCCGAGATGAAACAATCACTTTCCAAAGTAATCTTTGTTTTTTACTGAAAACCTAAGGTGAGCCCATATTTCTAATGGAAAATGGAATGACTCAGGAAAATAGAAGTTTGTGAAATTGACATCTGTCCCTAATAAAATTATGGAAATGTGCTACAGAATATGGTCAACAATGACTCAGACAAGACATTACTACTAATGCAAATGATGGTTTATGGAGAATATGTCTTGTCAAATGTGTATATTATTAATTTTTATGATAAAACACATTTATGCAGGGTATTTTAATGTGTTCTGTACAACATTTTGTTACAGAAAAATATCATTAACCCAAATTGACTTACTCTGTGTTAAATCAAATAAAAAAATAATTATCTTGTAGCTCTGGGAAGGTGGTTGTAAGTGAGAAAGCCTCATGCAGGGGGAAGTTTCTGAAAAGATACTGTGCTTCATAGTGTTAGGCACAAAAAGCATCATCTATCTCTCTTGTTTTTCTTAGGATGAGACTGAGAAATGACCTGATCATTTTCTATAAACACCTGCATGTGGGAGAGATTCCTGATGATTGCAGGTCTTTTATCTGAACAAGATGATAAGATTCTCTGGCTGTTGGCTGAAAACTAAAAAAGGAATCAGTTCAGAAACAATATGTTTTGAAAGAAAGAGTAGCTTTCCCCTGGAACAACTACCCTATATCATTTGAAAACATTAAATCAAGGCCTTCTAAGCTATAATTTTACCAGGTATTCTGGGATTGATGTGAAAATTGTTAATGCAAGAGGTTAGTGTAGATGGTTGCAGTAGCCCCTTCTCACCTCAGACTGTTACAGTACAGAGAATAGGAGAATAACTTGTATTACACCTTTTTGCATTCATTATGTCTTTGACTGCAAAGGAACTTTGATATATTTAAATAAGGAAAGGACTAAATATTATTATTGAAATAAAAGCTGTTTATTCTTTTCACATACTGAGTTTTAGGACCTTTAGTAATGCTTTGCAATAGTAAGTTTTATACCTCTTCTTCACTGAATAGAAGTTAAAATCATGGCTTTACTTCATTATTAACATGACCATTTGCCTCAAAGCTCTGTCAGGGTTACCAGAGTCTCTCTCTGCTAATATTCAGTGGTCAGCTCGTTGACCCAATGTCCCTGCCTCCCTCACTATCTGCAGAGCAAGCTGCCAGATTAATTCCCTACAATGAGAAATTAATCAGTACTATCGATCTGCAGTCTTCTTTATATGAGACTTCCAGAGTGCTCTTAGTCTCATACTCTTTTCTGATGATTTGTCCTAGAAAAACATTGAAAGGTTTTGTATGTTTCTCAGTGCAATTAGCTACCAGGCATTTGAGGGTTATAAGGAGGTTAGTGTGTTCAGGAGGATGTGCGATATTAAACACACAGTTTACAAACCTAACAAGACCCACAAGTTTTCACTTTCTTTCTTCAGGTGTATTTGTGTTGCTGTTTCAGTAGGGAAAGCTATTTAAGGTAAGAAACTAGTTGAAGGTCTTATTAGTTGGTCTGCTATGGAGATGTCTTGATGTTCACAGGACAGCTTTTCACTCACCTTTGCATTTCATAAGGTTTCATTATACTTCCTTTTTCTTCTAATCTCCTTGGATTTTCTAGTCTGTAAGCCCTCCTGGGCAGGTTATTCCTTATATATTTCACTGAAACTGAACCCTGGGTGTGTCTGGATACGTGTTGGTAAGTGGTCACCTACATCAAGACTTTTGAGACCTGGGTTTTTTGACTGTGAACAAAATGTGATGTTTTCTACTGTGAGTGGTCTGTCTCTGCATGTCTTCAAGGTCCTTCAGCTCTGTGCTCCTGCAAGGACTGAGCATGGCAGCAGCAGGAGGATAATCTGAGCACCAAGTCTGAAGGGATAATCACAGACAGAACATAGTAGTGCCACGTGCAATTCTGGAAAACAAGTGTGAAAGCTGTTAGGAATGAGAACAGTGTAACAGAATAGTCCCGTCTTCCACATCACCCTTTCAGCTGCAATGAAAACAGTAGATGGATAGAAAAAGATTACCCCAAATCAGGATAAAACTCCCACCAGAAGCTTTATGAAATGATAGGATGAATGGACTTCAAGATCCCCCCCCAGGCGGATCTTCAGATCCATCCATTGGGTTATTTCATAAAGCCTGCTGTCACGTTCCCAGCTGACTGTTTTCCGTTTTTCTCTTGCTCAGGTTCTCTCAATTTGCCCAAAGGACATGAGGGCAGATATTTGTGTGCACCTGAACCGGAAGGTTTTTAACGAGCACCCTGCCTTCCGGCTGGCCAGCGACGGCTGCCTGCGGGCCCTGGCCGTGGAGTTCCAGACCATCCACTGCGCCCCAGGGGACCTCATCTATCACGCTGGGGAAAGCGTCGATGCTCTTTGCTTTGTGGTCTCAGGATCCTTGGAAGTCATCCAGGACGACGAGGTGGTGGCTATTTTAGGTACAGTGATCTCTGTTGAAATGCTTCTGGTTTGTGTGTGTTTGCTTAGTTTGTGTGGTTTGCTTAGTTTCGATTATTAACTAGTCTTGCTTAACATGAGCTGGGACTACAGGAGGCTGGTAGTTGTCATAAGGTGGAGATACTGTGTCTCCGGAGATCCTACTCTAGAAGCAAACCTTTAATCTTTTATGCCATTGGTAATGCTCTTTCTGCCCAGTATAGCTCAGTGGTCACAGCTGCAGTGTCTCTGAGCAGAAGAGAATGGCATCTGTGTGCTCGACATCTTTTAAATAGCCTGTTGGAGGAAATGCACATTGCTTAATATTACTGTCTCAGGAGGATTTCCACATTAACCTTCACGCTGGGATTTTCATTCTAGCCCAGAATAACACCTGCAACAGTCTCTATAAAGAAGCAAAATTGTCACTTGCAGTGAACTGCCTGTACAGAAAATAAATGGTCTGATCTGACCTTGTAAAGAGATAGGGTCACACCATGTGTCAAGCCACAGTCATGACAAGTCTGAGTGATGGGGGAGCTCCAGGTTAGCCACCCTGTTGCCCCACTGTGCTGCCTGATTTGCCAGCCGCAGGTGGGAGAGAGAGCAATGCAGACTCCTTGCTAGCTTGTATGGGATTGGGATGGTTTAGCAGATGGTGGGATTGAGTGGTCAGCATGGGTGTTGAGGCAGCAATCCTCCTCAGAGGCAGAACCATGTAGAGGAAAACCATCCAGAACCCGTCTTGCCTGGTTAAAATCAACCCATTTATTGTAGAACTCGTATCCTGTTGAATATTTGCCTTCTCTTAAACTGGAGCTGTGACTCCCTGTGGCCAAACCCAGTCGGTTCCTGGTTCCTGGTCTGAGGGGGTCTCTCACAGCCCACTGAAGCTCTGTACTGCTTCTTCCTTGTAAGAGTGGCTTCAGAGGGCTCTGTAAGTCTCTCTTATATCTCCTGGGGAATGATCACTTGGAGATAAAAGGTTATGCTTGGGAGTTGCACTGGTATGTGGAAAGAGGGCAGACAGAGCCAACACTTGTCATGAGTCAGACTTCAGCTCCTTCCCAACTGGCAGCAGGAGTAAGGAGAGGAGGAATGAGGGCAAGCATGTAGCTGAAAGAGATTCCTGATATTTCTCTAAAAGCCTGCGTATGTGTGTCTGGGACTGGGGTGGGATTGGGCAGTGTGCAGGTGTGTGGATGAAGCTGCATGGGAATGGCTTCCCTAGGGCATCACTCAGATCCTCCCAGCTGGAGAGTATGAACTTGGAAAAACACACATCCATACTCTTTTGAAATACCTACTGCACCTTTCTGTATTCTAGTATGCACTTAGGTTTTGAAAAAAGAGAGATTTAATGTAAGAGTGAATCTGCTTCCATATTCAGATGTGAAATCCTTATGATGAAAGCTCCTAAATCAACAAGTATTCCTTGTATTTCAGCTCACTGGGCCATTTCAATTTTATTATTGATCTCAATGACAATATATTTGCTTACAGTTATTTAAAAAAACAAAAGCTTTAAGAGTAAGTAGCAGCTTTTAAATAAGTAAATATTGGGTTTTATGGTGAAAACAATAAATATGTAATTTACTGAACTAGGAGCCATCACTAAATATGCATGCAAAACTTCATTGCATTTATTAATGAATATTGATATTTATTAATGAATATTGATATTCATTTATTAATGAATATTGTATGTTTGGAATGACAGTAAGTACTTTTTGTTTCTACCTTTTAGATGTAGTAAATCGGGTATCTATGTTAATCCCCATTTGGCTAGAGAGACTTTTAACATTATCTAGTTAAAGTGAATTACCTTTGATTACCAAAATTGCCTTTGATTTTCTCTGCTGAGGTGCAATCCCATGACTCAGAGCTGTGTTCGTCCTGTACTACAGGGATTGGCAGAATGTGCAAATGTAACTTAAAGCAAGATAAACTGCTACCTCTAGTCGTAGAACACACTGAAGAGTCTTTTTATGCTCTGACAGATTATTTAGCAGAATAGTGAACTGAGTAATTGTGGGATGTTGTATCCTAAAAATTCACTTGTGGAAAAAAATCTCTCCCAGATGTAGTTGCAAAGGCATTTATAGTGGCAGCTGTGGCAGCTGAAATAGCGACTGCAGATCAGACAGTGAAGAACATAATTTTTATTGATCTGTTCTGCTTTGAGAAGTTCAAGCACAAGGAACGTGAATCTGCCTAAGGCGGAGAGCAGGTTTAAAAACCTCTGCCTAATGTGAAAACCTCAGTACCTGCTTTGAATGCTCCAAGCATCTGCCATCACATTGGTTTTCCAAGGGAAAGTCAACTTGCAGGACTGTGCTATCAGTCTGTCCGTCCTTTCTGTGCCCCAGAAGTAACCTAGAGTGGAAATGTGATAAGTATCCTTTGGAAACTTGTCCTCATTAATTTCCTCTATGAGAGCAGGAACGTGCAGGACATGCTGTTTGCCAGCCTATGCTCCTTGCAGAGGAAATAACAGTGTAGCGTGATTTAATATAGGAGTGTATTTGCCTTGCTTAAAGAAAGAGAGAGAAAAGAGCTGTCTTTTTTTTTTTTTTTTAACCATGCTCACCTGCACATGGATTGCTTGGTGTATTTTTAAATGTGGAATATCCTAGACAAGTGAATCAGGTAGGGACATCAAAACAGGTTAAGAACCATCGTCTTCCATCTCTTACATTCATGCTTCTGTCCAAAGTGCAGGGCTTCATCTTCTGTCAGGTCCCAGCATGAATCACTCCATGATCATAGAATCATAGAATCAGCTGGGTTGGAAGGGACCTCCAAGATCATCAAGTCCAACCCTTGATCCACTACTGCTGCAATTGCCAGACCATGGCACTAAGTGCCACATCCAGTCTCTTTTTAAAAATCTCCAGGGACGGAGAATCCACTACTTCCCTGGGCAGCCCATTCCAATGTCTGACCACCCCCTCTGTAAAGAGATTCTTTCTAATATCTAACCTAAACCTCCCCTGGCACAACTTGAGACCATGCCCTCTTGTCTTGCTGATAGTTGCCTGGAAAAAGAGACCAACCCCCACCTGGCTACAACCTCCTTTCAGGGAGTTGTAGAGAGTGATGAGGTCTCCCCTGAGCCTCCTCTTCTCCAGGCTGAACCTTAGCTACCTCAGTCTCTCCTCATAGGACTTGTGCTTGAGTCCCTTCACCAGCCTAGTTGCCCTCCTCTGGACCTGCTCCAGCATGATGTCTCTGCTTTTCCCCTTCTTGATCTTCCCTTATTGTGTTCCCTTCCCTTGCAGCCACAGTGAGTTGGGACCTGGGGGTGCTGATCGACAGGAGGCTGAACATGAGCCAGCAGTGTGCCCAGGTGGCCAAGAAGGCCAATGGCATCCTGGCCTGCATCAAGAACAGTGTGGCCAGCAGGAGCAGGGAAGTGATCCTTCCCTGTACTCTGCATTGGTGAGGCCACACCTTGAGTATTGTGTTCAGCTCTGGGCCCCTCAGTTCAGGAAGGATGTTGAGGTGCTGGAGCGGGTCCAGAGAAGAGCAACGAGGCTGGTGAAGGGACTTGAGCACAAGTCCTATAAGGAGAGCCTGAGGGAGCTGGGGTTGTTTAGTCTGGAGAAGAGAAGGCTTAGAGGCGACCTCATCACTCTCTTCAACTACCTGAAGGGAGGTTATAGCCAGGTGGGGTTGGTCTCTTCTCCCAGGCAACCAGCAATAGGACAAGGGGACATAGGCTCAAGCTCTGCCAGGGGAGGTTTAGGCTAGGTGTTAGGAAGAAATTCTTTACAGAGAGGGTTATCAGGCATTGGAACGGCCTACCCAGAGAGGTGGTGGATTCACCATCCCTAGAGGTTTTTAAAAAGAGATTGGACGTGGCCCTTAGTGCCATGATATAGTAATTGGAGTTGGATCAGGGGTTGGACTTGATGATCTTGGAGGTCTTTTCCAACCCAATCTATTCTATGATTCTATGATTCTATCCACCGTCTCCCTGCCTACTGAAAGGGTGTCCTCAGGAGACTTGGCATGCCAACCAGGTGCTTTCCTGAGGCTCCACCATGGAGACAGCCATCCTTTTATTCAGCAGCACTTTTCCTGACTCAATGGCCCAACCTTTGGTGTTTCTTGTTCTTGAAAGCAGATGAAGCCTAGTGATTGACAGGGCAACTTGCAGCACTGTGACATTTTGTTCTCCCCTGGTTTGGTTTTGTTTTCATTTGTGAGTAATTAAATGCCCAGACACTGCAGTAACCAGCATTACAGAAACATGTACAGTAAGAGAATGGCTCCTGTTGTAGATCTGCAGTTTATAGGACTCATTAATGGAGATAGCCAGGTGCCCCATTATGTTTCCCTCATTAGTTGCCTCCATTTCTTCAGACCAGGCTCCCACCTTTTGCAGGTGCTGACTGCTGCTGTAGCAGAGGGTGCACCTGTACAGAGCTGGTGTGATGAGGTGCTGATATACACTGGAGGAAAGAAGGCACGATCATTTTAACAGAACTCATCTGCAGTCTCCAGGATAATGGAGAAGGGCAAACAGTCTTGTCTCTAATTATCAAAACTTTCCCAGCAAGCGAGGTGACCCTGAGAAGGCACATAAGTGATTTTCCACCGTCTCAGGCAGGAGTAAACAATTTAACTGCCACTGCTCTACACAGGGAGGTGTTTTCAGCAAAGAATCTCAGGAAGGACTGGGGGGTTGGAGTCCCCAGTCTAATGCAAAGAGGCATCACCAACCAGAGAGCACCTAATAATTGTCCCTGCTGCAATTAACCTGAATTTGCACCTGATGAGGAGTTTCACACAAATGGCAATGCAAGCCATGGGGCTCTGGAAGCTGCTTTCCAGCTCCTGCTATTTGCACAGATGGCTGTGTAAGTTGCACAGTAACTTAAACTGGGCATATTGATTAACAAGGTTTAAAGAAGTAGGTTTTTTTCAGCAGAAAAATAATGACCCACCGTGTTCAGATGTTGATTGTAGGAATTGATCAAAAATATTGCTCAAGCTG